AAACATGAAATACGAATTACTTTTGCTTCTTATACTTTTTGATTTCATTTTTATTTTTAAATCTAAAAACATTTTGAAATATTAATTATACATGTTTTTAGTTTGATATTTTAAGAAATATCATTATATTATAGTGTAAGTACTTTGTATTCTAAAAGTTTTCCTATGCCTTTGATCCATGTGAAAGAATAGTTTATTTTGATTGTATTTTTTTCCTTTTGTTAACGTGTGAATTTAAGTTTAAATCTTTAATTTGTTGTACGCTTTGGTTAATCTTAGTTTTAAGTGTTATTAAGTTGCGAATCCAAGTTTGTTTTTATTATTTGCTATAATATTTGCGTAAAATATTAAGTTTTAAATCTACTACAATTAAGTTGTGAATCCATGTTTGTTTATTTATTTGTTATAATATTTGCATCAATTTGTATTCACAATTTATGTTTTATGATTGTTATGATGTGAATTAAATTTTAAATGTGTGTTATTATGTTAGCATTTTTCAAATAATGTGAATTTAGTTTTTTTTTAGTTGTGAATTGTGATGTTTTAATGTTTAAACTATTGTTTAGTTCTGATAAACTAAATTTTAAATGTGAATGAGTGAATTAATATTAAATTAATATTGGTAGGTAGTAGCATGTGGTAGTTAGTGATGGTTCACACATGGTGTTTGATGAAATGCCAAAAAATTTGGAAAGTCATTAAGCTGTGAATATGTGTTTTTATGTAATAATTTGTGAATATGTAAGTTATTAAGTAGTGAATGTGTATTTTTCATGGTTCTAAGGCGTGGTGTAGCCGTTACGAAAACGTCCAAGGTGGGTTTGTTAAGCTTGACGCCCAAATAACGTGTCAAGGTGTGTCATATCGCGTTATGGCGCGAGTTTTTTTCAAGGAGCGGATTTTTTCAATTTTTTTTTCTGTTTTTTTTGTCGGGCCTAAAATAATTGAGTTTTTGTTAACTTTTTTATATTAAATATTAATATAACACTTCTAAAAACTTCATATATTTGATACAATTCAATAATTATATGATTTATCTCTTTTAATATATATAAAATAGTCACGCTTTAAAAAACGTCATGGTTCGCCAAGGTTTGGCATAACTTAACTTTGACCTCGCCGCCAAGTCACGCCTTGCGTTTTTTATAACCTTGGTATTTTTTATGCACCAATTGGGAATTAGTGTCTAACATATTGAATTAAGTTGAGAATTAGTATTTGAAATGTTTTATTAAAATGTGAATTTTGATTTTTCTATCCAGATCTAATTTTGAGGGATGTTGGAAGTGTGGTTGGTGGTAGCGATGGTTGAGTAAGGATATGTTGCATTTCTCACTCATCTTCTTCGATGATTTCAGATAAGTTATCCACTTTTATGATTCATGTATATGTTATTCCTTGGATGTTTGCTGTTGAAATATGAGATAATTTATGTATGTATTAATTGTGAATGATATATGAGATTATACTTGTAAATGAACTTTGAATGTATTGTATTAAACTGTGAATTTTTTTGTATTAATCCGTGACATTTATTAACAACTTAATATATTAAATTCACAATTTAGTACATAAAATTGCCTCCATACATGAATGTATATGTAAGTTTTAATTTGAGAATATGACTATGAACATATATTATGTGTATTAAACTATGAATTTGTTACATTAAGCCGTGGATTTTGTGTACTAAACTGTAAATTGACTGTACTAAGAGCTTTAAGTTGATAATATGGTTGTGAATGGATAATGTGTGTATTAAACTGTGAATTTATTATATTAAACTATAAATTTTGTGTATTAAATTGTGATATTTGGGTTTTAAACTGTAAATTAACTGCATTAAGCTATATAATTTCTATTTAAACTGTGAATTGATTTTATTAAGCTATGGATTTTGAGTATTAAATTGTAACTTGTGTGTTTAGAAATACGAATAACCGCATTAAGCTTAAGTTGTGAATTTGTCGTTTAAATTGTGAATTAAGTATATTAAATTTTGAACTTTTAATTAACTTTGAGTTAAAATATGAATGATTTGTGTATGATTGTTTTTTGTATTATTGTTCTTGTGATTAAATTGTGATGTTTTAAGGTTTCATAAATTATTTAGTTATGTTAATGTTAGTTTTAACTATTATTAATAAAAAAAGTATAAGTTTTATGTTGTGAATACATGACTTTTTTTTAAATTAATTTTAATATGAGAATATATTATTTTTTATAAGTTTTAAGTTTTTTTTTTTAAATCGATCATCTGAATATCTTTCTATAGAGCATACAAGGTGTTTGATTAAATTGTGAATAAGAGTCCTGAAATGCTTTATTAAACTGTGAATTCTATTTTTTTATATCAAGATTTGAATTTTATACCTATAAAATAGTTGTGAACATAGTGTATTAAACTGTGAATATGTATTTTTATGCATTAAATTGTGAATGTGTAAGTTAAGTTATGAATGTGTTTTTTTTATGCACTAACTTGTGAATTAGTGTCTGAAATATTGAATTAAGTTTTGAATTAGTGTCTGAAATATTAAATTAAGTTGTGAATTAGCGTCTGAAATAATGAATTAAACTGCGAATTTTGTTTTTTTAATCATTTTCTGATTTTTTAGGGAATGATGTTGTTGGTGTTGACATTGATGCTTTGTGGTGACGATGGTTGATGGCAACGTATGGTAGACTGGTACTTGGTAGTGTTAATGGTGGCGATAGTGGAAAAGTAATGATATTTTCCATTTCTCACTCATCATCTTCGTTGATTTCAGATAAGTTATCCTTTTTTATGATTCACGTATATATTTTTCTTTTGATGTTTGCTTATGAAGTATGAGATAACTTATGTATGTATTAAAATATAAATGAGTTTTTCGTACACTGAAATATGAGATTATACTTGTAAATAAGTTGTGAATATATTGTATTAAACTGTGAATTTGTTGTGTTAAGTTGTAAATTTGTTCACAGCTTAGTATAATAAATTCACAATTTAATAGATAAATACGCCTCTAGATGTTAACATATAATTGTTAGTATTAAGTTAAAAAAATATAGCCGTGCATATATATTTTTTGTGTATTAAACTACGAATTACTGTATTAAGCTGTGGATTTTATGTATTAAACTGTGAAATGATTGTATTAAACTGTGAATTGATTGTATTAAGATTTGAAATTTTTATGAATTTTGTATTTTCTTCTAAAATATGAGAAGAATATATATATATATATATATATATATATATATATATATATATATATATATATATCCCTATCTAATAAAAGAATAGGTTTAATCTCCTATTGACAAGTGTCATATAATTAGAACACCTAATTAATGTTGTATATCCATTATCATGCCACTTGTCAACCTATTAATTATTCATTTCAAATTTCAAATTTTAAATTTTTTCACTCTAATTAAATTAAACTAATAATTGATTCTTTTATTTAAATTTCAAATTTTAAATTTTCTCACTCTAATTATATTAAATTAATAACATTAGATTGAAAAATAAAATAAATTTAATATATATTATAAGATGATATAACTTCATGTATTTATTTAAATTAACGATTATAATTTTATATAACTAAAAAAATTTCTCTTAAATAATAATTTATTTAAAGTAATTAATTAATAATTTTGACTTTTTATATGAAAGTTTAATTAATTTTATAACCGTGGTTCTCACGGGTTATAAACTACTATATATATATATATATATATATATATATATATATATATATATATATATATATATATATATATATATATATAGGTGTAGGTATAGGTTCATTTGAGACCATTCTAATTTTGTGAGACCGTGAGACCAAATCTAAAAATAATTTTAAAATGTAAAATAAATGGAAAAATCCAAAAATTCTTTTTTTTAAAATATTATTTTCGGAACTTGAATTAACTAAAAAAAATATAAAAAAAACAAAAAAAAATTCCGTTTTTTTTTTTTTTGAAAAATACGTGAAATATTCTAAATAGAATATTACACTGTACATATTCTAAAAATAATTTTAAAATGCAAAATAAATAGAAAAATCAAAAAATTCTTTTTTTAAATATTATTTTCGGAACATGAATTAACTAAAAAAATTAAAAAATAAAAATAATAAAAAAAAAAAAATCAAAAAATGCGTCTCACGGTCTCACAAAATATAGGTGATCTCAAATGAACCTAACCCTATATATATATATATATATATATATATATATATATATATATATATATATATATATATATATATATATATATCGACTTTTATGCAAGACTCCACTTTTGTTACAAGCTCCACTTTGGCTATTAATATATTAAGCCTCTTAAGGTTTTTCTATATGAATCGCTCTCGTTTCAAACAAGCAAATCAGGTCATCAGGTCATGCTTTCAACAGGAAAACAAAGGTATAGGTATAGCTTTTTCTCTTTCTTTCTTTCTTTCTTTCACTTTCTTTGAACCCCTACAATAGCTAGGCATAACTGCAGATATAACTATTAAACGACACAACAGATCTTACATTGTTGATAATAATAATGCATATATCATACAACTTCAAAAAACTATCATATATAAAATTAAATTCTAATCTAGCTAACCCCTGGCATAAGAAAGAAAGAAAAAAACAAAATGTATGTGCTTGCATGGTTTATGTTACCTTAATCAGGTTATTAATTAGGTTCTTTTTACGTATGGCTGGCCAAATTTTATCAAAACAAGCAAACAGCTACGCGGTACAAATACAAAGAGATAAAAAAAAAAAAAAAAAAAAAAAAAAAAAAAAAAAAACATGAGACTAAAAATCAGAAATTTAAAGACAATTGATTTTACTATAATTTAGTTAAGTTTTCAGAAAGTCTACTTTCAAAATCAAACTTTAAAGCTTATATTTTAATTTGATATAGTTGATTTTTATTTGATAAACAAGTCTCTTATTTGTTGAAAAACAGATATTCTTAGTAAAGAAAAAAAAAATCAAATGAGATGGAGATGTCCAAAAGTGAAGATGTAAGAGTTGAAATACGGCGGGGTAATCAACCGGAAACAGTCGACAAGATTAACATCCACGACGTTGCCCGGGAGTGGGAAGGCTGCTTTGAAGACAATGACACTACCCAACATTCAGAACGCAAACGACAACTGCAGAAAGTACATCCATTGCTCTTAAAAGGCGAAAAAGGTGAAAGAAACCGCCATTGTTATGAGCCAGCAGTGGTTTCCCTTGGCCCTTACCACCATAACCGAGACGACTTCTCCGCAGCCAACGAATACAAGCTCGTAACTCTCGAGGAATATCGTTTGAGCTGTGGAACTCAAAATAATTCCATGGATTCGTTATACTTATACAACAAGGTGTTCGAGGTGGTACACGATGCTAGAAAGTGTTATATCAATGGTTCTACAGATGAATACAATGACGAGCAGTTTAATCGCATGATGTTGCTTGATGGTTGCTTCATTTTGTTCTTTATAGAATGTGTTGCTAGCCAGAACACTATGTTGATGCTAAATAATGAGTATTTAGGCGCATTAGGGTTTGCGCACATATCTCGTGATATTTTGTTGCTCGAGAACCAAATCCCATTTATAGTACTCCAAGTTTTGTTGGATTTGCGATTCCCAGAAGATAGAGGAGAAAGGATCTTAAATTGGTTTTTTAACTACTTGAACTATGGTGAAATCATCGGTAAGGAAGAAAATGTGCTTGAAAAGAAGCAACCTCTTCATCTTCTCGAGCTTTACAGGTACTATTTCATCTCGCTTTCCTCTTGTTCTGCTCATGTTCAATCGAGTAACTCGAGCATGTGGCATTGGAGAGAAAACTTGGACATTGATACTAATGAAAAATGGAATTATGTAAAGCGAAATCGATCTTTTGCATCAGTTACAGAACTCAAAGCTAAAGGGATTTTCTTGAAATGTATTAATGTCGATGACAAGTCTTCTAATGGAGACATCAAGTTTCACTCACATTATTGTTATGGTGAGCTTGAGCTCGTCAGTCGAGCGGTGTACTCGAATTCAAAAGCTATTTACTTGAACATGATCGCTTACGAGATGTGCCCACATAATCCTAATGACTTTCGAGTTTCAACTTATATTCGTGTAATGAAATCGCTGGTTATTCGGCCTGATGACGTGAAGGAGTTACGAGACAACAACATATTGCTTCATAGTCTTGGTCGAGATCAAGATGTGGTGAAGCTGTACGATGATATTGATGCACCCGCGGTTAATGTCCACATGTTTAATCAGCTCCGAAGAGGAATTGAGAAGCACTGTAATAACAAGTATAAGACGTGGGCAGCGGAGTTGATTAACATCTACTTTAGCAGTCCATGGAAGACAATGGCTTTGTTGGTCGCTACTGCTATTCTGATCACTAGTTTTTTACAGACTTACTTCACCATCTGGCCAGATGAATAATGACTACAGCTGGGATATTGTCAAGCCTATGAGATGATGCCTACAGTAGATATTCTATTTAAGCCATTTGTTGTAGCTGCTTGATCCGGAGGTGTTCATGTCACACGAAGTGGCGGAGCTAGTGTGCATGGAATGGGGTCCATGCACCCCACTTGGTTGTGCCAAATATATATGTTTATTTTTATAAGTCGATAATCTCCCTTAATGATATTACTAGGCACCCACTTCACTGATTTTAAACTTTCGTGAGTTTCATCACAACCATATCTTCTCTCTTCTGTGCTACGTATTTGGTTTTGCAAGAAAGATTCAAAATCAACTCATGAAATGGAATTGGATCCCTACTGAATAAAAAGAAAGAATAATGAAAATTTATTTGTAAATAATTTGATAGTGATTGTGTTTTTACTTAGTTTTATGAATTGCATAGTGTTAATATTGATAGTTTTTGTTAGTTTTGACTTTTATGTTAGCAATTAGTCTTTGTTTATTTTATTAGTTTGTATAGTGTAAACTGCTTTTATGTTTAATAATCTGTATATATATTTAGTTTATATTTTGTAAACTGTTTTTATAGACTATAAACAAATTTACTTTTAAGTTTAACAATTTCCGAAATGTAAAACTAACATGTTAGATTTTTTTGATAAAGGAAACAACCAACAAATTTATTAGTTTTATTAGTTAATGAAGACATTGGGTAATTAATCTGTGTAATCAAATTTCTTTATTAAGGCTAACACCTAATAACACCAATGAGCACCACCCCTCCTATGTTATTCCATGTTAAAGGTATTCCCGTTACGATCATAACATCTCTTAACGCTATTTTCTTCTTTTTCTCCTAGTAACGTGGGGCGTTGCCCACACCCACCACTCTAAACCATGGTATAATTTGCATGATCCAAAGAAAAAGAGTAAATTACACGAATGGTTCCTATGACTTAGGGTAATTTGTGCGTTTGACCTCTAACTTATTATTTTAACTATTAAGGTTTCCAATGTTTGTTTTTATTACGTGTTTGTTCCCTATCTTACCTAAAAAAAACTATTTTTCCATTGATTTTTTTAATTTATTTAAATAAAAACAACTCCAACCCTATCCCTTTCATCTTATCTTACCAATCCCGCTATTTTTTTATATTTAAATAATAGTTTTTTTTAGGTAAAATAGAGATCAAATGCATAACAAAAATAAACGTTAAGGACATTCGAAGTTAAAAAAATAAGTTAGAAACCCAACATGCAAATTACCACAAATCATAACGCGTGTAGTTTAGTGAATGAAATTTTTTTCTAAAGTTAATAATATTTTTATTGTATTAAGTTAGGGACCCGTTGATTTTTGGTCTGGCTCTATGACACCTTATGATTATTTCAACATTCTAAATCCTGCCGCATCTCTATAATACTTGTAACAATTATGAAATTGTATAATATTATTAAATTTTGTAGAAATCGAGTCTTTTATTGCTTATAGGACCCATCCAGCACAAACTTTCTAAAAAGTTTAATTTGAAAAAAGGTCTAACGAGGCAAGCTTTTTCAAAAGCTTAGGGTGATTTGATCATAGGAAAGTCCCTTATTTTCATATTAAAAAATAAATAAATAAAAAAAATTAAAAAAAATAACAAAATTAGAAAACGTGTGTTTGGATTAATATTTTTCCTATTTAAAAAACAAAAAAAAGAGAATATTTCAATTTTTAAAATTATAAAGACAAAATTGTAAAAACCCTACGGTTTTTCATTTTATATGGTTAAAGCCCAAACATTTGAAAAGTTATAGATTTGATCATTTTGTCGTTTTTATCCTTTTTCCGTTAGGTTTAACTGGTTGGCTGTTAACATCTTTAAAATGACAATTTTACCATCACGGACAATTTTTCCACTTTTGTCTTTAAACGTATTGTAAAGACCATTTTTGCATATGTTCTTTTTTATTTTATTAAAATATTATATAATAATAAATATTATTTTTAATATATAATATTATATATTAATAAATATTGTTTTATTAGATTATTAACTTTTAGTTAATTCTTTTTCTTTTAAATTTTTTTGGAGTAATTCTTTTTTATTGAATTATTATATATCAATACATATATTTTTTAGTATATGATATTTATATCGTAATAAATATTATATTATGAGACTATTATATATTACAAAACATTTTTTATTAGATTATTAATTTCTTTTACTTGATTTTTTTTAAAATTTTTTTTTTTTGGAGTACTTCTTTTTTATTGGATTATTATATATCAATAAATATTATTTTTAATATATAATATTTATCATAACAAATATTACATTATTGGATTATTAATTTTTTTTAGTTAATTTATGTGTTTTTTTAGTTATTAATTTATTGAATTATTACTTGCAATTTGTTATTTTTTCATATAAAAAATATTATTGGATTGTTATTTTATTTTTAATGTGTACTATTAATTCCTTTTAATTTTATTTGTTTCACCACAAAGTCGTCGAAATATACGAAAGTTTCGTTTCTCGTCGCCAAAAAGCGGTGAGATCACGCGTCAAACACCTTCATCGGAGGTTTGACAGAAATCTCACCCTGTTCCACCCAGGGTCGCTGGTAGCTACCTGCGACAACCTATTCATAATTCACTGGAATCCTTCATATCTCATATAATGCGCTACAAACCTCTGTAACAATTATAAGTGGTAGTGGTGACCGGGTGATGGTGGTGATGCTTTCCCTATGGTTTCTCACTATATGCTATCTCTAATGAAGGTGTTTTGCAGTGATCATGACGATTTCTATGATGAGAGATAGCGATTTTGCGGTTCTCACGACTTTGTGGTGGAACCAATAAAATTAATAAGAACTAATATTATATATTAAAAATATATTAATAATCCAATAAAAATAATAGTTAGTATATAAAGAAAATAATAAATTAAAAGGAATAATCAAATGAAAAATAATTTTTAAAAAAAAGGGAATTACAAACATTAACTAAAGAAATTAATAATCCGATAATATAATATTTATTATCATATAAGTGTTATATATTAAAAACCATATGTATTGATATAAACAAAAAAATTACTAAAATAAATTGATAATCCAATAAAAATAATATATATTAATATATAGTATTATATATTAAAATTAATATTTATTCATATATAATAATTCAATAAAATAAAAAAGAATGTATGCAAAAATGATCCTTCTAGTATATGTAACACCCAAAGTTGGAAAGCCAAGGAAAGAAAGAAAACCCCAATTTTAAGGGGAGACTCGGCGAGTCCAAGGAGGGATTCGGCGAGTCCGAGCGGGATCCGGGTCGAGGTGTAAGCGACCGAATCGGCGAGTCGAGCAAGGTGACTCGGCGAGTTTGGTCTAGGCAAAGAAAACCCTAAATCAGGGACTCGGAGCTTATTTAAATGCCTCATTCTCTTCCCTAAGGCTCCTTCAGTGCCTCTTTCACTCAGAACAATAAACCCTAGCCGCTATAATCGTTTTGGAGCAAGATCTAACCCTTTGTGAAGCTTTTTGGAGCTTGAGAGAGAGGATAGTCATTGTGGAGCAAGAAGGGGGCCTTGGATCCAGAGTTGGTGGAGTATTTCTGAGCATTTAAAGGTAATAAATCGTTACCTTCCATCTTTTGTTTAATAGATCAACCTTGGCTATGAGATTTGGAGCTTTTATGCCATGTTTAAGAAACTATTTCGAGTTAGAAGCCAGATCTGAAGTTACTACTTTAGATCTGAGTGTATCTTGGCCTAGAAAGTCATAAAGCATCTGTTCTTGGGTTGATAGTGAAGCTTCTTTGTCTTAAACTCTAGTTTGGACTGTTTTAAGCCTAGATCTTTTGATCTACACGTAAATTTTACCACTTTACGTGAGGGATAGGCCTTAGAAGTATGGATCTATGAGTTGGAAGCCCTGTTTGGCTCGAAAAGCCACTGCATGGATTAAGGACCGAATAGACTCGACGAGTCCTTTTAGGGACTCAGCGAGTAGTATGAAGATGGAGGCGAACTCGACGAGTTGGATGAACAACTCGGCGAGTCTGTTGAAGATTTCCTTGGACTCGGCGAGTCTGCTCTTGGACTCGGCGAGTCAAGTCGCGAACCCCAAACCCTTCGAGTCAAGGCTCAGTTTAGCGAGTTGAGTGGGGACTCAGTGAGTTGGACAGGTCAGAACTCGGAAATCAGTGAACTCGGCGAGTCAGTAGATTGACTCGGCAAGTAGGGTCAACATGGAAGGTTGACTTTGGCCAGGACTTTGACTTTGATCGGAGTTGAGTTAGTTGAATTTTAGAGGTCTGACAGGCTAAGTGTTTCTTTGTTATTGGTAGCTCGGAGAGTTAGAGGAGCAGCGTTTCAGACGGTGGTTGCTTAGCAGTCCGAGGGTTACCAGCAGAATTCAGCAGTTCAGGTGAGTTTCCTTCCGGTAGGAACGGGTCTAAGGCCACAATGCCGACCCGTTCAGTTAGCAGTAGTTTCCAGACCTCAGTCCGATGCAGTAGTTAGTATGTTTGATGCCTTTGTGGCTCTGATAGGATTTATGTGTTATGTGCTATGTGTTATGTGATCCGGACTACGGCCCGATGCAGTATGCAGTATATGTGTTCATGATAGTTGATATGCTATGCTATGCTATGTTCAGTCAGTTTCCGAACTTCGGTCTGATGTAGGGGGCAAGACCCCAGTTAGTCCGAACTTCGGTCTGATGCAGGGGACAAGGTCCCAGTCAGTTTCTGGACTTCGGTCCGATGCAGGGGGCAAGGCCCCAGTTAGTCCGGACTTCGGTCCGATGCAGGGGGCAAGGTCCCAGTTAGTCCGGACTTCGGTCCGATGCAGAGGACAAGGTCCCAGTCAGTTTTCGGACTTCGGTCCGATGCAGGGGGCAAGGCCCCAGTTAGTCCGGACCTCGGTCCGATGCAGTGGGAAAGGCCCAATATGTGCTTTATATGTTATTGTATGGTATGTGGTAGTTTGGGGGAGCTCACTAAGCTTCGT